TTACAGATGATTTCTTGATGCTTACAGATAAATTTTCTAGCTTGGCATGAGAGGCTTGTGGCATGGAAGCAAAATCAGCATGAGTTTAGCACCAAAGAGAAAAATATGGCTTCCTAGGGAGAAATGAGAGTGTTTAAGGTGAGGAAGAAGAGGTTTGCAGGCTGATTTGACTAAGAGGATAGAAAGAAAGAACAATGTTCTTTCGGCAGCTTGACAAATCTTCTGACAGATGTGAAAGTGGTCTGCCAGAAGAGGAAAATGGAGAAGAATGGTGAATAGTGCACGAAATTGCTGGATTTTTGCAAGTAAGAGAGAAAGCTTGCTCTCTGAATATGAGTTGGTTTTGTTGGGTAGAACATGCCTTATTTTATAGCTTGCTGGAAACGATCATTTCCCAAGAAACCCTAATGGTTTCTTCCCAACTTGGCCAAGCTTTTTCTTCCTTTCTCATCTCCTCCCTTGACTTTTCTATCTTGGTGAAATTTCCTCTATCTATTTGCACAAAATCAGGAAATTTTGGGAGCTTAAGGCCCCTTTTCCCGCAGCTGTTTTAGTGGGAGACTTCCATTTTCAACCATCTTTTTTCCTTCTTTTCTTCCTTCTTCCAAAACTAGGTCTGATGAGGAAAAGAAATGGATATGTACACTGGTTTGAAGGGTGTTTTGCTCAAGTATCCCTTGGTTTTTGGATTTTTTTGCTTGAAACTTGCTTTCTTCCAAATGCTGGAGCCTCCTAGCAGCTCTTCAGATTTTCCTTCGCGGCTTCTGTTTTTTCCAATAATGAGCTGAGGCTTTGGCTTCTTCTCTTTTCTAATTATATGGGCCTTCTAAGATAATGGGTTGGTTTGTCAAAATAAATGGGTTAACCTCAACAAGTGTTGGACTATTTTTGTTGAGGTGTTGGGCTAATTTGATTAAGCTAATGGGCTATTTCCTTTTTTGTGCTCACTTATATGTTTGGGCCTAAGAAATGGGCTTGAGTCCCGAGGCTCCCAAGCAACCTGAGACTTCCATTTCTCGCCCCATCAATGGGACTCATGTTGATTTATTACCATCCATACCACAACCCACTCAAGCAAGCTTGAGTATATGAGTGGCTTAGGGCCCACTTAAGCTTATGGCGTGATTAGGTTCGGAATAATAATTTCTTGCTTGGCGTGACGTGTCGCTCGGCGTGGCATGTGTGCAAGCGCATATGATGAACTTTCATGTGCCCAAATCGGGTTTCTTCTCGGTAAGGTATCGCATTGGGCCGATAATTTATTTGGGTCAAAGCATGAATTTTTTGGGCCTCAACAACTCCAAAATCAATCAGTAATGGGAGGAGTAGCGAGAAATGTGGGACAAAATACTGCACGTGTAACCATTGGATCCAACACGCCAAGCGTTGCTATGATACCATAAAGAAATTAAGATTCCACTATAAAACCACTTTTCAATGTGAAACAAACACTCTCAATATAAAATTTGAAAGTTGAATGGCTATTAAATATTTTATTTAACAATTCCTCAGCAGTACTTTTTTTTTTTTTTTTTTTTTCCAAAATCGTTGAAAAGTTTTATTAATAGCGAATAATGAGATTTACATCTGCAGCAAATTTTTTAAAAAGCCAGTCAGTTTCAAACATATTTCCAAACATGATTATGTCATGTCTATAAACGAAACGAGCTACAATGTGGGCTGCCCGGTTGCAGCACCGGGTGCAAACACAAAAGACACCCGACCCGAGTGAGATGAGGCATCAGCTCAGCAGTATTCTCTTCTTCATGATATTCTTTACCCCACAATTAAAAAGCAAAAAGAAATAAATAAATAAATAAAGAGAATTAAATGAAAGGGTAGGATGGTCATTCACCGGAAGAAGAATATGCTTGTTCAAAAGTGGCGACACCATGTCTAAGGATTAGGGCATCAGCAGCGCCGCAGTGGCAAGTGAGCACTACAACCGTTAGATCAAATCTACCAAGATCCAACGGTGCATAAAGAAACCCTAACCAAACAGATGTAGCAATTGCTCCTCTTTAAATCCCCAAGCCTCTCATTCTCTTCATCCTCTCCTCCCTCACTCTTCAGACTCAAGTCGGCGGCGAGAGAGATCCCCCCATATATTCTTCACTTTGAGTTTCTTGAGGTTTGAATCTCTATCCTCCCGTTATTGCTTTGAGCCTTTGTACCCGTTTGAATGTTTGTGGCTTTAGAGTTTGGTTTTGTTATTTGTTTGATTTAAGTTAATTGATGAACTGGGTTTTGTTCAAAGATGGGTTTTAGATCTGATGTTCTTGTAGAAATTGCATGTGGGTTTTAGGTGTTCTGTTGTGATAATCTGTTCTGTTGATGAGTATTATTGTTTGCTGGTCGAATACAATCTTGTATCTGCTACAGGAAGATCTGATCTGAGTAGTGCTTCTTGACATTTGTTTATGGTGTTTCTTTTCCAATGTTTGTGTTATATGTTACTAGGCTTCATTATCTGGTTTGTGGATTTTATCAGTTCCATGTGACTCGTTCCCTTGAAGCAAAATTAATAGGTGTTGCTTTACATAAATTTTTACCTCAAAATTTACGTCTTGTTTCTTTGGGAAACAGTGGAGCAACTAAATTTTCAAATGGTGTAAATTTTGTTCTTTGTTTTTATTTTGTAAATTTTACAATGGTATAAATTTATTGGTAACTGTGATGAACCTTCAGACCTGTAATGATATGCGGACATGAGCGCAGATCTAAGAACATCTAAGGGACTGAGTTTAATTTTTCTCTTGCTAATTTGAGAACTTTTTTCATTATGCATGCTTTGATATTACAATTTATAATGAAGAGTTTTTTTTTTGTTACAATTATTTTATGGTGATATACAGTTTGTAGTTTATTTATTTACTAGTAACGGTGATGATCCTACAGACCTGTAATGATTTGCGGGTATGATCGCAAATCTTTAAGAACATCTAAGGGACTGAGTTCTGCAGTAGTAGCGCGTATCTATTTTTTTTTTTTTGCAAATCTTTACCATCAATATTCTGTGTTTGAATTCTTAGTTGTTGCTTATGTTCAGTCTGTTTGTTGTTTGGTGAAAAGTTCATGTTACTATGATCTTGTATTCTATTCAGGCTAATTGCCTGTTGAGTTTTGACACTTTTTGTTTGCAATTTCAGATATCTTGCTGAAATTCCATCATGGGTAAAGAGAAGTTTCACATCAACATTGTGGTCATTGGCCATGTCGACTCCGGGAAATCAACCACCACCGGTCACTTGATCTACAAGCTTGGTGGTATTGACAAGCGTGTTATTGAGAGGTTTGAGAAGGAGGCTGCTGAGATGAACAAGAGGTCATTCAAGTATGCCTGGGTGTTGGACAAGCTCAAGGCTGAGCGGGAACGTGGTATTACTATTGATATTGCCTTGTGGAAGTTTGAGACCACCAAGTACTACTGCACAGTTATTGATGCTCCTGGACATCGTGACTTTATCAAGAACATGATTACTGGAACCTCCCAGGCTGATTGTGCTGTCCTCATTATTGATTCCACCACTGGTGGTTTTGAAGCTGGTATTTCCAAGGATGGTCAGACCCGTGAGCATGCTTTGCTTGCTTTTACTCTTGGTGTCAAGCAGATGATTTGCTGCTGTAACAAGGTAAAGCTTTTATTTTATATGTCAATGGTATTGTATGTCAGGCATTGTGGTTTTTGTTATTTATTAGCAGCGCTAACACAGGACTTATTATTTAAACTGTTATGTACAGATGGATGCCACCACTCCCAAGTACTCAAAGGCAAGGTACGATGAAATTGTGAAGGAAGTCTCATCCTATCTTAAGAAGGTTGGGTACAACCCAGATAAAATTGCCTTTGTCCCCATTTCTGGATTTGAGGGTGATAACATGATTGAGAGGTCCACTAACCTTGACTGGTACAAGGGTCCCACCCTTCTTGAGGCCCTTGACTTGATCAATGAGCCCAAGAGGCCCTCAGACAAGCCCCTCCGACTCCCACTTCAGGATGTGTACAAGATTGGTGGCATTGGTACTGTACCTGTTGGACGTGTTGAGACTGGTGTTGTGAAGCCTGGTATGGTTGTTACTTTTGGTCCCACTGGACTGACAACTGAAGTTAAGTCTGTTGAGATGCACCATGAAGCTCTCCAGGAGGCTTTTCCAGGTGACAATGTTGGATTCAACGTCAAGAATGTTGCTGTCAAGGATCTCAAACGTGGTTTTGTTGCTTCAAACTCCAAAGATGATCCTGCAAAGGAGGCTGCCAACTTTACCTCTCAGGTCATCATCATGAACCACCCTGGCCAGATTGGAAATGGATATGCTCCAGTTCTTGACTGCCACACCTCCCACATTGCTGTCAAGTTTTCTGAGATCTTGACAAAGATTGATAGGCGATCTGGTAAGGAGATTGAGAAGGAGCCCAAGTTCTTGAAGAATGGAGATGCTGGTATGGTGAAGATGATTCCAACCAAGCCCATGGTTGTTGAGACGTTCTCTGAGTACCCGCCACTTGGTCGTTTTGCCGTGAGGGACATGCGACAGACAGTTGCTGTTGGTGTCATCAAGAGTGTTGAGAAGAAGGATCCAACCGGTGCCAAGGTCACCAAGGCTGCAGCAAAGAAGAAGTGAGATGTGTTTTACCGTGCCCTTGAGCTAGGCTAGTTTTGTCCAATGCTGTTTCTTTTCAATTGTTTGGTGTTATTATGGAAGTTTTGTGGACAGTTTTGAATGTTTACATCGTAGTACTCTACCAACCCCTTGTAAGGGTTGTGGAGGAGCTGAGCAGTTGGATCATCCTCCGGTTGCTCTGCTAGCTGTGTTGTAGGCTCCTCGTGTTTTCGTTTTATACATTGAGATGAGTTGTGTAGTTGAACAACTTCGTATTAATGTTTGCAGCTTCTGTTTTTGTGTTTTAACTTCGATTTTTCCTCAGATTTTTGATATTGTGAGATTAGTTATGCTCTATTGTTTACTCATCTAAACATCGAGTATTATATTGCTTAGCAGGTTTCTTTGTTTGAATTAAAGAAGTCGCCTTGCATACCCTCTGTTCAAACTTCTGTTTTGATCTGTGGCAAAAGGCTTTTAAAATTTGACTAAATACATTGCTTACAACATAGGGAATCTAAAATGCACGTTCTTTGTACGATCTCAAAATGTATGAAATTGTGTTGGACTTAATTAATTTAGTTGGAAGTAAATTCTGTCGTCGCGAAATAATTGTTTTGAGCAACATTTACACAGGATGCCGTCTTCTCACTCTAAGTTGGATGAAACCTAACATGCTTTACCAGTCTCATGGTCTCATAATGGCAACTAAAAAGAATTTTATAGATACCAATGAAAATAAACCTTCAATATAAATATGTTTGGCATATTTAAACATCTTGTAAATCCAAACATAAATTAATTGTGATAACCTTAATTCCACAATAACATAAATCTGCTCAATACTTTGGATTAACCTAATGAACATCCAAAGAAAATCTCCTGTGAAAATGACGGGTATTTAAATTCGTTTACGAATACAAGCTGCTATTGCGCATATATCAGTTGTAGTTGGTATTCGCCTCACTGGAGTAGTCATCCCAAGTACAAAATTGTAATGCCAGAACCCAACTACTGAAGATGCGCAGCTGTCCATAAAAGCATATACCGGCAGTCCGTCACAATGTGCACTAGTGCTGGTTCAATGCGCAAGTCACATCTGCAGAGGTAATGACATTCAATTGTTACATACAAATTGATCACAAGGATCCCCAGATCCACATTCTCCAAGTCATTCTTTAAACAAAGGAGATATCTCCATTCTTTTTCTTTAATAAGTAAATAAAGGAAATTTCTCAAGATTTCATAATCAACCCTCAGAACGGAGTCAGAACCTCTTATGCGGTACAATGAAAAAAAAGCTCTACAAAGAGATATTTAGTTTCTACCTGACAATAAATCACAATTCTTTATCACTGTCAAGCTGTGACTTTGTAGCTGCCTTTTCAGCTTCTTCTAAGACAAAAGTCTTAAGTGATTCAACATCCCTCAGCCCTGACCATTTGCACAAGAAACAATAACTAAGTCAGATACTACACCGGAGAAAGTCTAATAAGTTTTTGAAACAATTAGTCTTGACTGCCTGCAGGCTGCACTTGACTCAAGTCTACAAATAATGCACAAGGCAGATGAAACAGTTATTTGGATTGTAACAGAACAAACCCACTTCAAATCTTAAGGGATGGCTTGAATGGCTAAGCCAAATACACACATGTACACAGACACAGAAACATGCAATAGTGGCCTGAATGATCAATTTTAAAAAGACCTAAAAAATCATTTCCCTCATCCACAGATTTTTCAATTACCTATATTTGATTGTGGGACCTGAGTAGTTGACTGTAACCTGAGGTATCAACACTGATTGTAACAGACAACTATGAAAATAATTTCCCTCGTCAAAGATTTTGCCATTACATATATTTCTTATGGAACCCAAGTAATTGGCTATAACCTGGGGTATCATACATCACACAGAAATTATAGTCATTGTGTTTTTTAACCACGGCTACCAATCTAACAGTTAACAGAACTGATCTCACCATAAAAATACTAAATAAGGCGGCCATTATTACACATGTACATACTAACCAAGCCAAGGATCTTTCACCACAACAAATATCATCATTATCACTGCCATACCAAAGCAGCCGAACTCTCACAGGTACACACTAAACACAGCACCCCTTAAACATTCTAGAAATTTCCATCTCACATTCCCTCCTCCATCCAAAAAAAAGGAAAAATAAAATATAGAACCATGCACACATCTCTTTCATCATTGCGGCATACAAAGGTAAATTAATTGCAATAAAGATTACTTTTCCAAGATGATACTGTATTGCCTCTTTCAATATCTGACGCTACCAAATGTTAGGTCTTCTTATTTGTATTGTGATGAATTTTCAATGTTGTTTATTAAACTTAGGACACTGCAACTGTCCAGACTCTAATAATATAAGTTGCCAAGTTGCTGAAAATGGCATGATACTACAGAATAGCTGATCCGGTGGTCAACTAAGATGCCCAAAATAAATTATAACGCTTTCCCAAATGAATCTGTATCAAAATAAAATGATTGAAATCTATTTACTATTTGGCCAAGCCCTCTTCAACAGGAATTTCATAGAAATTTAAAAGGCACATGTGATCAAATTATAAAGTGATAGTATAACAATAAGGCTAAGTTTTGAGATTCAGATCAAATATAAGGCATTATGGGGGGACATAGATGACAATGGATTAAAACACAACTGATCTATCAGAAATAAAATTGGAATCCTACCCTGATATTTTGCAACTTCTTCTCCATCATAGAATAGCTTAAACGTAGGATATGAATGAATGTCAACTTTTGAACATACTGGTTTACTTGTGCTGCAATCAACTTCCCCAATCTCTATTTCATCTTCGCCTTCAATTACCTTCCCAAGGTCCTCCCACAATGACCCTAAATTCTTACTGAAAACAAATGTTGTTATAACTAGTAAGAATATCAATCTTAAAAATCTCATAACCATAGACTTAGCACAGCTGGGAAAACTTACCAATGTTTACACCATGGTACACAAAATTTCACAAACCATGCAGTATCTTTCTCCTTCACCTAAGAAAACACATATGGACATAACCAATCAGCAAGGCCAAAAATCATAATTAGCTAGCTTGAGATATCTTTCCAAATTACTTCCTACTAACTCAACCTCCCCTGGAATCCTACATTTCTTATAAAACCCAACTCATAACATTTTTCATTACGAGTTTGATTTCGGTGTACAAATTAAAACAAAATTCACTCAAAGAGCAAAATCAATGTAGGCATTAGGATTAATAAGACCACCAGGGATTGGTGAGCTGGGTTAGGGTTAGGAACCCCAGCTATATGTGTTTGTGTGTAGGAAATGAAAAATATGATCTGCATCAAGTCCTACCCAATCTGCCAGAAATTGGGCACAGAACTGAAACACATCTGGAGCAATAAAAGCACAGCAATAACTCATAAGCTTATTTCATATATTGGATCTGGGATTTTGAATGTAAAAAAATGAAAAATTTGTAAAGGGTTTTGGACTTGTTACCTTGTCGGAGAAGGTGTCAGCGGTTAGGGTTATAACCTCGGCTCTGGTATGAATTGTTAGACTTAGAAGAAGAAAGAGAAGAGCTGACATGAAAATTAGAGAAGCAGAGTGGGTTTTCATCGCTGCTGCGAAAATTACAAATTTCCGGGAAATTAGATTGAAGGGTAAGAACGAAGCCACTCGAATACCTAGAGACGGTTGCTAGTTCTCAAAGCGAGAAAAAACAAGGCAAAAAGGCCAGACAATAACGATGAGGGAGGTGATGATAAAAAGTTAGGTGATTACCATATTAACCTTAATTTTTTAAAATATAATATATAGTCTAAATTAGACTAAATTAATCTTATTTAAAGGAGGGAGATTTGAATTTGGGAATAAAGGAACGAACTCATTGACTGGCAAATTAGCATAACCAACATGTGCACTGGGCAGTCGATTCTCGATGTGAGTCTTAATTTAACCAGACCATTGCACGAATTGTGGGGCCGATTCATGTGACCGATGCTTGCATTTTTTCCTTTGTCGTGCACACACCAACTTCAGAATTGTTCGTGGGTAGGGGTGGGCATAAAATCGAACCAAGTCGAACCAAACCGAAAAAGGAGGAATTTTGATCAAAGAAAGGGTATCTAAATATACACTTATCTTTTTTTTTTTGGGTTGAAAAAAAGGTAGTAAGATCAATTTAAGATAAATAAAAAAATAAAAAAATAGCATACTAACCAACGTCCTTTAAGCTGAATTTGCTTCCATCCCTTTTGAACATCTCATTCAAGTCTCTTTGTTAAGGCTTTCTCTACATTTGAGAAAGTAACGCACCATTGAAATTGCAAGTACTAGACGCAGCAGAAGCTTACTTTTTTCCCTTTTAACAAAGCCATCAGTTAAGCCATCGAAGTGCCTCAACTCTGGCATTTTCTTGTTCTAAACAGATTCTATCCAAGAAACCAAATTTAATGGAGTATGTAAAGAGGAGAAGTTATTATGCGGGATAGGCTTCAGATGTCTGCACCAATGGTTTGAAAGGTTCATATATCATTGCTTTTGATGTCAGTTTTTTTTAGATTGAAAGTGATTTGCTTACTTCTTGTTGGACTTCATCCTTGGTTAGGGGTTCAAAAGACTGCCATAGCTAAATATGTATGTCAATAGAAATGGAAATTCATAGATTCATCACAAAGCACTAAGTGGAAACATAAAGTCGTAGATTTCTTACTCACAAGCAACTCATTCACAAACCCAGGAACAGATACAGAACCAGAAATTCAACTACAACAAAAAAACAACAAAAAGCCCTAAACACATAAACAAAAGCTCCTAAAATAGCTCTGATAAAAAATATAAAAAAACCAACGCCACCAAACTCTTGTTCACCTCCACCAAGACTCTTAAATAACCATGTCAGTTCCAAAACTCTTGATCACTTCTGGCACCCTCTCAAATGTTCCCCTGTCATCCCCCTTTGGTTGCTTCCTCTCATCTCCCTCCCTTGGCTGCTGCCTGTCCTCCTTGTATGGAGGTGCTGCTTGTGCTGAAGGCAAGATCACCGCCTCGCGCTGAGCATTGATAAACTTTCTCAACCGATCCTCACTCACACCGAAAGCAGCTGCAAGCTCAGGTCCTCTTATTGTCTGAAGAACAGAGCTAGCACCAGCCAAAAATTGAGGCCTGTTCTTCCTTGCCGAGGTTGTGAATCCAAAGAACTCAAGAGGCCCGGTTCTTGATGCAATTTGACAGAATGGGAAGTACCTCGGCACCCAAAACACATCACCGTCTTGTACATTGGTGTTCATTGCCGATGTCCCATTTGGGAACACAATCTGTATTGTCCCAGAGCCTCTCAACACAATGCCGTACTCTGTTGCTGTCGGGTTCACATGCGGCGCCATCATAGCCCCTGCGGTGAGGTTGACAAGGTAGACACCTACGCCGGAGTCTTTCAATGGCGCATAATCCGATTCGTCAAGCTCCATGCTCCATCCGTAGTTGTTTCGGAAGTCGGGTTTTCGATCGTAGAGGTTGTAAGAGTCTGGTGCTTTTCCTTTTCCCTTGTCATAGTCCTCTGCCCTCTTCTTGTTGTCATCTGAACCGGCTCCAAACACCGAGTTCAAGAGCTTCCTCCATGACCATGTTTGTGTTTGATCTTGATGATGATCAGGTTCTTGTTGGAAGTCAACCATTTTCTTCATTTCTTGGAGCCTGTCTTGCTCTTTCAGCTGGAGGAATTTTGACCAGAGGTTTGGTGAATGAGAATCACTCAAATACACAATTGGACCCTTCTGCTGACTTGTTAACACCTCCATTAGTTCTGATGATGAGACCTGCAAATATTGTGTCGTTAGTTTTTGTAGGGAGTCTGATTCTAAGAGGACCCACATTTCTGATCATATTTAAACCATATGATGATGTTTAATTATAAATCACTTAATTAACACTTAATTAAGTACAATTAAGTTTGGATGCTTACATTGAAGGCATTTGTGAGTATGTCATGGTCAAACCCAGCAAGTACAGATTGTGGGTTGATTCCTCCACCAATGAAGAAAGACTGCATTATTTACCCCCCAAAAAAAAAAAAAAATTCAAAATCAAAATAGGGTTATAGAGATTGAGAATTTTAAGTGCTATAAACCTCATTAATTCAGAAAATTTTATGATGATTAAGAAATGAAATTTATTTTGCCTGCACAGAACCAAGCCCCAAGCTCTCAGATGTGTCAAGGCTGCAGATGATATGAAGCCTCTGTCCTTCCCCTGTATTCACCAAGTAAAATGGAGAACCAGCTGGAATTCTATAAACATCCCCAGACTTCAATCTCCTCTCCCCCAGTTCATCTCTGTAAATCAAACCCACCTTTGCTTCCCCTGCAACAAATTATAATTATTCAGCTCATAATCTCATGCAGAATCTGCCACTTTGCATACTTGCATGCATTGAATTCAATTCAGTTTTAATCCAAGAAGTAAAACCAAATTAAGAAGAAACCAACAGAGCAAAGCAAAATCAAGCAAATAAAATATTACCTCTGCGGACAAAGAGGAAGAGGTTTGAGTCAAGATACTGAGGGATGAAGAGGGACTTGGGCTCCATTGTAATAAACCCAATATGCATTGGCTTATCAACAACCCTCCCTCCCACCCTCATCACAACACTCATCTCCCCTGCTTCAGTTTTCACCACTTGCCTTGAGTGTGGCAGCAAATACCAATCTTCTTTTTCTGATTCTGGTTTCTCATACTCTGGCCTCCTCGTGTCACCACTTTCTGGCCCTTCTCTCCAGTCTTTCTTCTCTTGCCTCCCTTCTCTCTCTTCCTTCTCTCTCCTCAAATCTTCATCTGGGTCTCCAGTGTACCCCACAGCCACTGAAACTCCATACCACATCACAAGCAGAAGAACCCCAAAGCCCAGAACTCTGTTTCCCATTTTTTCTTTTTCTTTGCTTTTGCTCTCTGATGATCTGATCAGTTGTTTTTGCTAGCTAGTTTCCACTGTATGAAGCTTCTCAGTGAAGTGGTGGGGGAGTTTATGAAGAGGAGAGGGAGAGAGTTGAGGGGGACACGTGTCCTTCATGCAGAGTTTGGGGGGTTTGCTGGCGGGTTTTGGTTTAGACACAGTTGGGATTTGAAGAGAAATATTCGAACACTTTGTAAGACAGGGACAGAGTCATCGGCATGAATATCTCAAACCAAACCAAACCAAACCAAACCTACCCTTCTACACGTTCTCTTCAGAAATAATCAGATTTTTGTTTGTTTGTTTTCATTCTACTTTTAAACTCGCAGTAATTTTCTGGTTATTAGTATGAAATTTGTATTGTCATTTTCTAGACTTTAACATATGTGAAAAATTAGTATGTGAAGAATTGTTACTGGACGTTTTGGCACAACTCATTCAATCACATACTTCCGAGGCATGACTTGATTAATATGAGAAACTGATTTCAGATAAATCATGACATAATCATGCATTCATTATAGGATACCTAATTGGCGTTATTTTCACTCAAAGTATTTTTATCTTAATCTCATTTTTAATAGGATTAGATTTTATCTATTGATATTACTTTTCTAGTTAGACTCTATTTTGATTTAAGTTTTATCTTTTCCCGTTATGACTTGCACGTTGCTCATCTCCTACTTGATTGGTCTAATTAGTTTGTTTTAGGAGAAATTGTTTCTCCCACAAAGATTGGTTGTTTGGCATCGTCATTTAGAGTCCATGCTAGATCAAAATTGATATTCATGATTGATGATATTTGTAGTCTCATGTTTGGCGTCCTTACAGGAAGTTGATATTGAATCAAAGTTATTATTCATAATGGCATAGTAGTGTGTATTTTGTTTTGACGTGATTGACTTGAGTCCATATGGGATTAAGTTTGAGAATCACAATTGAATAGAATTGTTGGACTATTGGGTTTCTCTCTTACTAGAGAGAACCTGCTTTGAATAAAACGTGGGTCTTTATTTTCACATACAGGGCTTTCGACATATTTGGTTTTGCATAGATTGAATTTTTAAGAGAAAGCTCCTGTGCATATTTTGCATATAAGTCATCAAGTGTTCCTTGTTTACTTAGTGATTTATCATACACTTTCATCATTCATATTGCACTCATATGCATGTCGGTGACTCATACGGTTGAGAGCACCAAGAACGTGGTGGCGGTTTTCCTCCGGCGAGCTTGAAGCAATCGTGACCAGTATTGTGTTCAACATAAGGAGTGTCGAAGATCATCCCGTGACAGAAGTTGAGTTACAAAGAAGTCGGTAAACATTATCTAGAACGTGTCTAGGATAAGTGTGTGAGTATTTCTTGTAATCATCGTTCTATAGTGGATTTGTGTTAGACTGAGGAGTCCCGTGGATTTTCCCTAGAGGTGGGGTTTTACCACATAAAATAATTCTTTGCGTGTTTCTTTATTTTATGTCCAACACGTTTCAAGATTGATAAGTCATATCAATCCTGTTACCAAAGTTTATTTTTATTTATTTGATTATAATATTAAATTGGCATATTCACCCTCCTCTAGGCATTTTTAGTCATCCTACAGGTATTTTCACTGGAGTTTACTATGTCTAAAGACCACATGTCTGAACAGTGCTCTTTCCATTAGCCCTTGTTTTTTTATGTCACAAGCTGTTACATGAACAAGATTCTTTAACTTTGTAGGAGAAATGTATATCATCGACGACAGATCATGCAGCCTTGAGCCTTATGTTATTGATCTATCAATGTAATAAATGCTAAAGAAACTTCAAACACTTGTTTTCTGATTTGTTGCTAGAAGCTAAATGATGATTTTTTAGGCATTAAGAGCAACTCCACCCATTTGCCCTTAGCCATGGGAAGGGGGGAGCTAGGGCAGTAACTATTTACGTGAATAGTAGTTGCCCTTGCAAATAGTATTTTTCGTTTCCACCCATTGCCATGGCAAAGGGCAATTACTATTCTTTTTTTTTTTCACAATTTTTTTTACCTCAATAATTAATTTAGATAATATTTTCGGATAAGATTTTCGGGTTCCTACGTGTCAATACTATTCATATCTCATAATTGGATAAAATTTTCAATTTCAAATTTCAGATAATTTTTTTAAAAAAAATTGGCTGGTATTTATAGAAAAAAATTCATTAATTTTGGGGTTTTTTTAAAAAAAAAATTCAATATTTTATTGCAAAAAAATTGGCTGCCGTTGGATTGGAGGAAAAAATAAGATCGGAGAGCCTAGAAGAAGCCACGTGGTAGCAGAAAAAAAAAATTTAATGAGTGAGCTGACGCCAGCAACAGCCCTCGTTTTGGACCTTGGGCTGAACTAGCCTTCGGGCTAGCCCGAGTTGCGTGGGACCCACTCCAGCCCTTGCTTGGGCTCACCGCTGGAAACAAATTTTTCGTTTTTTTCCCCAGCCCGCTCAGTGGCCTCCAATGGTGAGGAACAAAGTTTCGTGAGCCTGGCATATCATTATTTTTACTTCAATTTTACAGTTTTGGAGGGATGACCACCACTTTTGTTTTCTTCTATTGTTTTTTCTTCTTTTAAGGAACAAGTAAGCTTATCAAAATGAAAATGCCATATTATAACATGTAAATGAGTTATACTAAGTAGTTATATATTTTTTCTGATGAAATGGAGGGATCAACCCATAAAAATAAATAAATAAATAACTAAACAATAAAAATAGTCCCAATACTTCAGCTTCAACACAAAAAAACAGTCCCCATACTTCAGCTTTTAGGATTTGACATTTTCCAAGATTAGCCACAAAACCACTAGTCCAATCTGGTATGTCCTCACGAATTACTCCTCTAGCTCCAATGGTATCAGAATCACGCTTACATGAATACATTGAGCTTCTAATAGCCCAAGGGGGAAGGCTCCCAAGCAAGACGGATTTGACTAAGTAGTCATATTTCAGTACTATACATTTATTAAATATTATATTAGAGCTTCTTCAAGGGAAGAGGTAAAAGAAGAAGAGGAAGAGGGTTTGAAGAAGGCACTGATCTTTGATTGCATTTCATGAATGTGTCGAATTTGATATGGGGTTCGATATATGATTGCATGACGCTTCAATCCCAACTGTCTCTATCTCTCTCCCCCCTTTTCTCTCTCTTTTCTTTCTCTTCAATTTGGCGAGCCTCCATTTCTCTCTCCTCCTGTTAGATGCATGGAGCTAAAGTTGGTTCTCCAAAATAGAGAGCCAAGTAGAGAGTCTGCTGGAAAGATGATTTTCCTTCTTTTTAGTCAAAAGTAGTTAGAAATAAGAGAATAAAGAGTCTGTTGAAGATACTCTTAAAGATGCTTTTGCATGACATTACGCCACACACATATTTATGTATCTCTCGTTGTCACATGATGATTTCTCTCAACAAGCAACTTTGGGAAATATTACATACAGCGGTTAGCACGTTAATATGGTCTTAATATCTTGTCGCGTAGAGCACAGAGAACTCCATTCGGACAATTGAAAAAAAAAATCAACCACGATAACTTGCCATATAAGCGCGGCGCTCCTAACGGTCATTTTTCCACAGACTCGCCCAAAATGACCGAGTCACCCTCCGAGTCACTCTCTGACTCGCCCTTCAACCGCAACATCGACGACAAGAAGAACGATATCGTGCCCGAAATCCCAATTGAGATTGTGAGCGAGGAAGAGATGGCTCTGCTCGAAGCTGCTTTGGTCTCCGCCCGCGCTTCCTTCTCTGCAATCCCTGCAATTCGCTGCTCAACATTTTCGTTCCGCAGCAACGTCAGGTCTATTAAGTCGATTACTGCTTTATCCAAGAGGAGGTTATCGGGTTGCTCCGAACCCGATATTGAGGATTCGGGTGGTTTGAAGAGTGCCCAGAAGAAGACTCGGATGGCTGACTCGTTTTTGCACCGGTTTAGGAAGAAGGGCTTGTCTGTAACTGATATTACTGCCACGGTATAGAATTTCTTGGCTTCCAGACTCTTTTTTCGAAGTTTTTGCAAAATGGGTTTGGATTTGTGTTTGTAAATTTTGAGGCTTTATTGCTGTCTGATTGTGGATCATATGGGATTTTAGGAAATGCGTTTGGATGGTTACGCTGAATGTTTGAGAAAATTGATTTTTGAATTATTTATTGCAATGACAAAGATTAATGTGCAATAGAATGATTTAAATTTGTTAGTTTTCTTAGTGCCACATCAATGTGTATGTTGGAAATCTAATAGCAAAATTTGATCAGAAGGACATCTTATTATTCCCAATTTGAAATCTTGTATTGGTTGGGTAAATGTGTGAGCCGGACTCCCATTGAGCATCTGTATCTCCCTGGTGTGAGTGTGTGAATGCTTTAATTTTCCATGTATTGTGGTGTTTTCCATATATAGTATAGCCAATACAGCATAATTTAGCAGTAACTGTGGATAAACAACCTCAATAATTTGTACACTGTTATTATTTTGCGAGAGGTTGTGACTACTTTTTTTTGTCATCCAACTTAAGGATTTCAAAAGATATTTGACTTAGATCTATTCTATTTCATGTTAACAACAGGAATGGTGTGAAAAACAAATGGAGTTTGTTTTACTTGTTGGCAAGCGAAAAGTCAGCAAGGCTATGAAAAAAGGCAGTGCTCGCCATGCAAAACTTGAGGAAGAGGTACTCATTAGAGACCGACTTTTCTACTTTTGTAGTATTTCTAGTTTTGTACTGCATGAATGGTACCTGTTTAAATCTCTTCCATACTTTTGTACTTGTAGTATATCTGGTTTTGTACTGTTGTAAGAAAAATTATTTGGCTTTTGGAAGTTCTTATTCTTACCTCCATGTTTTCTATGCACTCTTACGATCTGATTATATTTTTGTACAGGTTGTAAAAAAAGTTAAAGTTCGTATCAAATCAATAGAAGATAGATGGGCTCTGAAGCTTCTTAATTTTATAACTGGAGTAAATCAATTATTATCTGAAGGATTGACGCGTGAGCTGCCACTGTAAGTTAAACCATCTCGTCTCTGATTCCATCTTTGATTCCTGATACACTATTTAGGTGGCTTTTAACGTCCAGATTGACAATGGGTTATTATAAAAGTTTTACCCATGTGAGGTCAGAGGTTTATCTTTCTAATTATAAATTTATCTTTGTTGTGAACTTGTGAAAATTAATTAGATAAAGGTGGTTTCTTTAGCATGTGTGTTAATTTGATATTATTGGCTCATCATATCAGGATGGCCCATTCTTGTGGTAGGGGATATAGTAGTTCTCTCGTATATAAGGAATGACACAGATCAAGCTTGCAGCTCTGATCCTTGCTTAGCAGTTTTCTTATGGGTTAAAGGTTAATATGAGCCCTGGATTGTAAAGATTGTAGTGCCTTTAAGTTAGTGTACATCTTGTCATGTAGTATGATGGAAATGATCCATAATATACACATGATGGTTAGAGAAAAGATTTAGAAAAATTGTATTGCCTTACCTATAGTAAGTTGAGACTTACTCCTTTGAAATATGCTTCATGCTTCTCTCAAATTGATACCATTTATATATTGGTATGTTGGAGTGGCAGGTATGTTCTTGTACTTTAGACTTTCAGTTAAATCTCTCTCTCTCTCTCTCTCTCTAAGAAATTGGAGAGTTGATCTTTCTAACCTCCTTTCTGTCAGTGATTCGCTATACTTTCTTATCATATCAGAATAGGTTTTGTAGAAGGGATATGGATGGTGGGAGTGATTGATGAGATTCGAATGCCTGTAACAGAAACCATCAGAAACCCATTATTAGTTGACACAAAGACTCGTGTCACAACGAAGAAATGGAAGGTATGCTCTTTTGTTGGTTTATGTTTCATTGCCATTGATGAGAAATGCTCCAAAAATGAAGTCACTCTGAACATTTGTTTTGGCAGGCTTCAATTAATGTGCTACAAGTATATGTGGGACGATTTAGTTGCTGATAAATTCCCATCCAAAAAGTTTTTTGATTTCTTTTCCTTAAATCCTCATCATATCTTATCTGATGAAATCAGAGAGATGACTGCTAACTCAGGGTTCCCTGCAGAGGTGAAGATTCTCTCCACTTGAATTATTAGATACATACTTCTTAAACCGATCACTTAATAAAAAGATGCTTCTTCGGCAAAGAGCAGCATCTTTTTGGTAAGGGTCTTCACTTGTTATTGATGGTTTGTCCAGTAACCAAATGACATGGATCAGTTCATAAAAATAAAATGGTATCTAACATAAGGTTTTCAGATAATTACCACTTCAAACGCATGTTTCTATAGCTTTTGTAAAAATTTCTCTTGGTTGTGCAGACCCTTGATGATGTACTGAGATACTATAGAAACACGTGTAGCATGCTCCCCCCTGCTCATGACCAGCTGTTATTGAGGTGAGAAACTAAAATTTATGCCAGGGGTTTCCATGTTTGTTTTCATGTTTAGTTTCTTATAAATATTATTATTGAAGTCCCAATGCCTGTGGATGAATATGTTTACCACAAAAGATTCATGCGGTGCATACTAGTTGAGCACACATTAGAAATGAAAGGTAGCCAGTCCATTTTGGTTATCCTAATAATCTGGTCTCTAGCTTTGTCCATCTTAAGTTGTTGTAATCCAGTGGACACCGGTTTTTATTTAATTTTAATTTTAAATAGTGGTTTGTAAGAGGTTACATCCAAATCTTATCTCACACCCCTGTTATGTACTTTATGTTTAACTTAGCATCAATGTTTCAAAAAGTAAGGAACAAGCTGAACTTGAATAATAGACATTAGTTGTGATGCATAAGTTTACCGATTGTTTGTTCATGTGGACATACTTGGTGACAATATCGTTTGGAAAGACACTGATACGACTGTTTTTGAGTCAGATATGAGTTACAGAAAGATCATTCATTACTTGGTGAAGATGAGTTTGCATATGACTCTGATTGGGTTAAGAATCAAATTCAGGGTTGTCTTGAGTTCTGGCTAGGAGAGCGAGAAGCCAGTTACACTCCTGAGGAAGAGCGATGGAAATGCGGGTTCTGTCAATATTCTTCTGTCTGCCCTGCTAAAAATGGTAACCATAATGATCCACCAAGTTAGAGAAAACCACTGGCATTGGCGGTGTTTCAATCAGCATCCGCAATAAGGGTACAAAGAAGCACAAGTTTTTAGAGTTGCTTCTTTTGTAATTGCTGTGTTGTATTTGTCCTTAGGATGATCCATGAATGTAATCATTCAAGTTGTATTGTGACCGTTATTTGATTCAATTGTTGTAAATTATTTTATGGACGGAGTTGTCAAATTCAATTGTTTGATTAGTAAAGTTTATGAATGTCTCTGTCAAAATTATGTGCAATACATTTTAGAGTTTCTGCAAAGACGTGCATATAATTACTTAAAACTAGTAGAGAGAGCTCCAAGTCAACACATCTTCATACATGATTCAGGAACCCTTCAAGTGAAAACTCTAATTTGTCAGCAGTTCTTTGAATTATCATCAACAGCCAGAAAATGTAGAAATGATTTAAAGGTTCAACAAAACTTTCTTCTTTTCTTTTTCTCTTGGTATATGAAGTTTGGTGCTAATAATGAAAAGGAAAAGAAAATGAAAAATAGAGCAGAGTCATAAGACTCCGACGTCCTAACTCATAAACTAGAGTAACTTTTTTTAGCGTGATACTCACAGCTCCACATTGTATTATATCTATTCATGTTGTAACACATAAATTTATTTATTAATATTTTTGCTTCTTTTAAAATTTTTCTCTCTCCTTTTGCTTTTTCCAAAATGTCCCTTAATACTATACATTAGATTCATCCATCCATGTTTTAACACATCAATTAGTAATGCCAATGAGGTCATACCATAGTGAAAAATATGTTTGGCCTAAAACTAGTGGTATCAGATTCGAAATCCCAAGACACCAGTGTGTGAGTAAATCCCCATCCCCTTCCTACTTTGACCTAAAAAACATAACACATCAATTATTAACACCACGTAATTGTATGTATGATTAATGGACTTTAAAACTGGTGGGGATAAGTCAAAGTAGCAAATAGCCCGCCGAAACTACAAAACCATTTGCTTGTTTGCGCGCTCTCTCCCTCTCTCCTTCGTTGTGCTCCAAAAACCCAAGACCCGAAGAGATGCAAAGTACTAGTATGCTGAACAAGATCAGGTAAGCTTCAGCGATGAATGTGTGACTTTTGATATCCATGCATTTGTGTGCTTGTGTGTGAAATTCTAGCTTTTCCTATTTAATACTTTGGTTTGGCTTTATCAATATACCAAAGCATTATCTGCCATGAACCTTCTGTGCTATGTTTTACACCTTCAAGTGAATCATATCTGTATCTATTTGGGTTCTGGCTGGTGGGTCCTTGCAAACATTTGGATCACTGCTCTGCTCACTACACTAGGCTTATTTATGTTTTGTCTAAATTGATGCCTATTGGATGCTCGCCAACTGTTTGCAATAATTCCTCGTACAAGTGACTTATGAATAATGCTAACAAAAAAAAAATAAAAAAATGATGGTTTCCACTTCACCGACCAGTTTATGAGAAAACAAAATTTTGTCACACCAATTGTTGGTATAGTGTAATTTGATAGTCATATATGATTTATCTTAAAGTCACAGGTGTAAGTAGATATGTCAAAACTTGGATTTTTTATGGAGAGGAAAACAACATTGTGGTAAAAGAAATCAACAGAATTTGTTTGGCTGATAATCTGAGGGACAACGTTAGAGGACCCTTTACAACTATGCTCACCCGGAATTTACTCTCAGTCAATGTACCTTGTTTGAGAGGTTTTTCATCAGCGGCGGCTAGTTTTCTTAGAACTGGGGATACATTGAAGCTATCTAGAATATTCACAAGTGAAGATGTCTTAGAGTACTCTAAAGTGAGTCATGACTCTAATCCTCTGCATTTCGATTCTGAGTCCGCTCGAAATGCCGGATTTGAAGATCGACTTGTTCATGGGATGCTTGTTGCTGCCCTGTTTCCCAAGATCATATCTTCTCACTTTGTAAGTCTGATGCTTCATGTTTTTACTTTTGGCTTGTTTTTTGGTTATTCAGAATGTTACAGTAATTTTTATTATCTCATTAATGGGAGAAGGGAAAGAAAACAAATTAATTAAATCTAGCTTACTTTTCATAATCACAAAGAAAGAAACAAAAAATTTGAGGAAGCATTATAATAAGAACCAAATTGGATGAATATGAATTTCTGTTGTAGAAGTATATGAGGTTGGAATTGAGTCAGAAATATATATGATCCGAGAGCCACATACAGTTACTTGATAATGAAAAAAATTTAGCTATCACATTGTTGAAAAACATCCTATCCTGGACTCTTTAGTGCGAAACCTTTCCGACATTTATGTTCAGATTTCTTTTTTTGGTTTTTTGGTCGCAACCGTTGAGATCCGAATGTCTAATTTCTTGACGTTGTTATGGTATTTTCAGCCTGGGGCTATATATGTTTCCCAAAGCTTGCATTTCAGGTTGCCCGTCTATATTGGCGAAGAGATTGTTGGCGAGGTAGAAGCAACTAATATAAGAGAACAGAAGAACAGATACCTGTAAGCTAGATTATTATTTGACAAAGCAATTGTTATGCAGTGCATGACTCAAATTATATAGAGACTAACTTATCTGGGTGTTTGCTTGCATGTGTGGTTCAGAGTGAAATTCAAGACAGCATGCTTCAAGAATGGTGCTATCGTCATTGACGGTGAGGCAATGGCCATCTTACCTGCACCAGCTGTGGAACAAGCGAATACTTCGGCATGACAGACAGCCGGTTCGGGTTGAGCTACTGCCGCATTGATTGAAAGTTCAAAAGCAATTCAGTGTGGCTGAAATTCTACGTATGGTTTAGTCGAACTGCACCATCCCTTTATTTAATAAAAATTTATCTCAAGGAAATTGCATTGTAAACTCTAGATGGATAACGTCTACATTTTTTCTCTTCTTTTTTTGGGCGGATGATTTCAAGATTTCTTCAATCAGCTCCATTCAGCTAATGGGTTCCCAACATTACATCCATGGAAGTCGCTTGTAAAGGCTGAATTAATGTACAATTACATGTAAATGTCTGAGGAAATACTAGCACCAGTCGTGTGTCACTAATTTCTGGCCCTTGATGTATCAATGGCCAAAAATTAGAATCCCATTATGCATGGATGGATGGCAAAAAAATCACCCGTGTGCGAGCAACTGAATATAGAGATGTCCCTCATATCTCCAATCTACACGAACCCACTGCTGAGGGGGCTTCCCTGCCAGTCGTGCCGTTACTGATCGAACCCATAAAACTTTCACAAATTCTTGATTCAATCACCAATTAGCAGTCCATACTTTCCCCAACTTCGAAGTGTTTATTCTAAATCATTCAGTTTGAACTTAAATTTTGCTAAGACTATAATATACTTATTTTGGTTAACCAAACAGAAATAAACTTGTTTTGCACGAATAAGCAATAATGGCCAGTGTGTAGGGGTGAACACTGGGTACCACCCGCGATCACCATCACCATCACCATCACCACCACTATCACCATCACCACCACTATCATGGGTACAGAATTCCCATCCTCTGTGAGAGAGAGAGAGAGAGAGAGAGAGAGAGAGAGAGACCTTTATTCTATTTTTTTATTTTTTATTTTTTTTTTAATTTCAAAACTTCAATTGCCTATATACACAAAACTTCTCAATAGAATCAACTCGTCAAAATTTCCTTCTCCTCCTGACATACAAAATTTTCTCCTTCATTTGAGCAGTGAAGCTATCTCTTCATAGAACACTGGCATCATCAAAGGAATTTGTACGAGGTCAATCTGGCCTGGCCTCGTCTGGTCCATCACGTGTCTAAAATGAATACAAACCTCAGAAAAATTCCAGCGTGCCATCAATGGTGGCAGGTGGGTCAATTGCAATACAGGTAGCCTTTCCCTCTGAATGCAACTGGGGTAACTTGTTGGCCTCCTTTGCTGCAACCCCTTCTGCAGTCCATAAGGTAACATGTGGCCACTCATTTTTCGATACTACTCTTTCTCCTTCAACAGAGCCAAGGCTGGCTTCAAGTGCAGCCATTTTATCCGAGAAGAACAGCTTAGTTAGATCCACAGGGACCGTTTTGTGGAGGAAGGTGCCATAACTAGCCACGGCAGTAACACCGTGACTTCTCTTATGTGCAAGAGTAACATGGGCCTTGTTAAGATTCTCCAAATGCTTTTCTTTAAGGAAAGCTCCAGCTTCACCATTTTTCGCAGCCAACTGCATGAACAGAATACATGCATGAAGAAAACAATTCAAGAATGAAATACACATGATTCAGTAGTATAAATTTCAGAATCCAAAAAAAAGAAAACAATGCTCTTCTGGAGTGAGAAGGATTTGCGCTCCAAATCCGACTTGATCAGAGATAAGCAATGCACATAATCTGATGTTACCCTTCATTTTAATTAACCAGAAGTATAGTGCAGATGCAGATGAATATTTGTCTATCATTTCATTCTTGGCCAAAATTAAGGCACCGCCAATTCTTTTTTTGTATACAAGCAGCAGGAAATCAGGCATACATGCACTTGAGTGAAAAGAACCGGCCCACAAACACGAGGCTGCACCAGCCTCAGTGGCAGACTAAAACCAGACTATGATAGCCATCCATTATAAATCTTAATAAGCACTGTATTAACTAGATATTAGAAAATCGATATTCTCTCAGGGCTAAAGCAGAGCTGCAGAATCAAAGGTTCCTCTTGGCCTGGGCGAGTACAAAAAATTTCCACAATGTCACCCAAGCCCAAATTGCAATAAACACAGCAAAACATGCCTAGCGCAGAAATCTGTTAGCCGCAGAATCAAAGATATGCTTCTCAAGGACTTTTAACAGTGACTAGGAACAAAACTTCGTAGTTAATTGGCTAATTTAAAAATCATACAGGAGGAAATTAGTAGTTGTTTGTCCAAAAAAGGATTTTATTTCATCAGAAGTCAGATGAAACAAAATAAGCAACTTAGATTCTAGTACATATTATAAAGAAGAGATGAGAAGGCAAATATTCACTTATATTATCTGGTGGATTTTAGTTAAGTTCTACGTGATATTGCCAGTAAAGGGACTTGGAAGAATAGATGAGAAATCAAACATTGACTTACATTATCAAGCAGATCACTGATTTCCGTAACAGGCAAGCTAACAGCAGCAAAAACAATGGCCCCAAACTTCTTCTTCCCAGTATCTGGAGTTTTGTACTCACCTTGTGCAATTTTTCTCAGCTGTTCTGATACGTCCTTAACAGCAGACTCAAAGGGAACCTGAGGACATTAAGATTGTACAGAGAGTTCATTTAATTATCTGAAAAATTTATGGTTCACCAAGCAAATTCCAGTGACTGTCACTGTAATAGAACAGGACAATGCGGAATCAATAGCTCAGAAGGTAAGAAGGAAAAAAAAAAAAATGATGCTGACCTGAACAGAATTAAGATACTCTGCATTGCCAAATAAAATATCCCGCAACTGTTTCTCCCATTGAGCCCACTCCTTTGCATAGGTTCCCTTTGTCGACTCCAATCTGAGTACAGGTTTACAAGCAAGCAGGTAAGGTAACCACACAAAAGCAGCAGCAACAGTGGTTAATCAATGACTAGCCAAATTATAAGAGCTATGCTACTGTTGAAAAGGGTTTAAAATGGTACTGTTTAAGAAGACAGCTAAAAGCTCTGTTTTGTTGAAATGTCAATTAAGTGGGAAAGTAAGATGAAAACAAAAGAGAATCTCCGTTGTGCTAAAATCTAATTTCATTGGTAAGTCCCAGCAAAAAGATTAACATTCTATTCTTTACAATTAAAAGGGGAAAGAGGAATTTCATTATAGAGGATCTATTACAATCATGAAATTTCAAAGCCAACAAGGAATTGAAAGAACAAGCCTTGGTTCACACCAACATGATCTAAACCATGCATACAGCTGTATTACCTTCCATGTTTGGCAGTGTGAAGCTTGTATAGATTTATTCCCTCCTCCAGAATAGACTTCACAGGATCGGGCAATGGATTCCTGGGTACGCAAAATAAAACCTCCATAACATCAGCGTAATTGCATTGCAAGAGGACACATATAAGATTTATATTTTACAAAAACAAACCCCATAACAATAGTGTAACTGCATGGCAAGTGAGGACAGATATAAGCCTTAAATACAAACTAAAATATACCTCATCGTATGCTTTGTGGAATCAATCCTACAAACCAATTGCATTATCTTTTCTTTTATCCATAACAGTTTTGAAACAGTCGCATTAAGCAGGGAGAGCACAATCTTTTAATTCAAAATTTTAGTAAAT